CTTCCACTGACCAGTAAATCAAGCTTTTCTCAAGTGCAGCTACTTTATCAGGCAATATCCACCACCTTAAGATATCCCGGATAGTTTCGGTAGATCGCGGTATTTCCACGCGTGGCAAATCTCCAATAGCACGTTCAATGGCACGTTTTTGGGGGGTGGAATGAAATGTAACTGTGCCTTTCTCTTCGGGTTGATTGTCTTATCAGGTGTGATGACAGAAGACTTTCCAACCCTTCCTTTTTCAACGCCTTTAACAACGACCTTGAACCGAGAACGCTTTTCTAGAGTACCGGGAACGGCGTTATTTGTGATGTTGTAGTTGTTGTTGATGACTTGAAACGCAAAAGAAGAGCTTGAGATGGTATTTGATAAAGCCGCGGTATCTTCACCTGTAGCTAGCCGACCTGGGTTGTCAAGAAGAGGTGGAAGCGCCTGTCCTGTGAGTGGATGTATTCCCTGTGGCAGCTATAAGGGCTTATTGGGGTCGAGGTTAGACTCCATTGAGTTCAGAGATGCCTCAAACTCGTTCAATATCGTACTACCGCGAGGCGTATGGACAGGATTACGTCTTCTGTCTGGCTCAAAACTCAGAAAAGAAGTTGGAAGGGATTCAATTGGACACAATTGCTGGGTTTCTGCTTCTACTATCTCCTCAGTTTCTCCAACACTTCTGGTTGCAGCGCCGAAAGACCTTATGATTTCCTTAACAACTTTGCTGCGTTGCACTTCACGAGCTGTCTGTGCCTTTATCGCGATCCGGACCCGCGCATTTGCCACTACAGCTTCTTTTGACGTTCTCCTCATTTCTTGGTACCTGTCCGGTAGCAGTCCCACAATATCTGGAACGGAGATAAAAATAAAGGAGACCAAGGGTCATATATTAAGTGACCCTTGGACTCTTACGTAATACGTTGGATCAGGATATGAGTATTTGATCTGCGGATGACATGACGCTCAAACCGCATTATATTCATTTTTGCAGCAATTCTGTAACCAAAAAAATCCTCAGACCAACTAGAGTCGCAAGTATGGCAAAATTAACTGGGATCTGAAGATGCCCTGACCCGGGATCCCAAGTCAAAGCAACCTGACCCAGAATCCTATCCGGGGTCAAAACATTCCGACCCCGGATCCTATCCAGGGTCAGAGTATTCCAACCAAGGATCCTATCCGGGACCAGGAAAGTTGGCTGCATGATCCTGGTCTGGATCACGGAATTTTATCTTCTTTTTGATCCGGGTTCGATATCTCTGATTCAGGACGCTTTCATGGCCTGCTGCCGTGGGCTTGTTCTACATGCTATGCGCAATAAAGTTTACAAAAAATTGTAACTCTCTGTACAGAGTGTATTTGGTTGGCTAGAACTAATCAAATGTGAAGATCTTTTGCGTTGGAGCAACGTTCCTACAGAAACATTACACCGAGACGATCACACAAAACTGCATGGCAAGGCAAAGTCGGAAGGTATCCCGTGCCTTGCAGCAAATCTTTGTCAACTCAAAGCCATCCATCAGGTCTCCCGCGAATCCCTTTCGCAAGACGGCGTATGAGATAGATCTCACGCCGGAGAGGAGACTGGTTTCGGACTGGTTCAAGCGCCGAAACTCAGAACATCATCGAATTGGGGAGACATGGACACGAAAAGGGAGTTTGCAGCCACTGCAGCGCAGATCGCAAGGAAGATAGTACGAAACCCTACATCCGAGTCTTCCCAAAAGCGATATGAATACTCGATGAAGCTTTACCAAGAGTGGCTCCTTTCATTTGGAGTTGATCCAAACGAGGTTGATTTTTCTGCAAGCCGAGATCCAGAGAAAGACCCAGTGTACATCGCTTGTGCTCTGATTCCATTTAGATGCTGTCCAAAAGAGGAAGGATTTGAGGGATTAAAGGCCATGGCTACTGGTGGAGCGATAAAGAGTGCAGTCGTTGCCTACTGGAATAAAAGAGGAATCAATGAAGAATATGTACGGCTCCCTGACGGAGGGTTCAGTGGAAATCCAGGAAAGTCGCCCGACATACAAGCACTGATACGAAGGTTAGATGAAGCACAACGCCTCTCGAGAGACAACATCACCAGAAGGGCTTACCAAGAAACTCATGAAGATCTGTGGGCAATTTACGCCATATTCGTGAAACGACAATTACCGCGAACTGTTCAAAGAGATCCCACCGTTGACTATGCAAAGTTACAAGCAGCATGCATAAATATAATACAGTTTCACTCAGTATCGAGAGGGGCAGAGATGCTGGATTTGAAGGTGCAAGACTTAATTTTTACTGGAAACTGCATTGCCTCACCGGTCGTGGGAGTTCTTCCAGTAACCAAGAACAGAAAAAGAAGTTACACTTACTTTCGGTTTTCAAAGGGGGTGGACATATCCATTTGTGGACTGAGTGACCTTCTCGGTTGGTTGTGTGTACTATGTGTGCATAAAGTTTGCAATGGGTCATTGTTTCTTCAAATGCGCTCAAATGTACTGCAAGGCGGCACAAAATTGGATGGCACGACGTACGGACGCCTTCTCCGGCAAATGGGTGAGTTTTGTGTGATTGAAGGACTTGCAGAACACAGTGCGAGAAGGGGAGGAGCCGGATATCACTATTAAGTTCTCAGAAGAGATCTGTTTTTTCTTTACCGTGCTTTTTCATGGGACAGTCTCAGCTAAATGTTGAAGTATATTGGAATAGAGAACGTCAATAACTCTGAAGCTCTCTTAGGATTCACCGCATTCGGAAAAATGAGCTGTTCTACTCAATGGCCCCCGGAACTTAGTAAATGACCCTAATATCTCTTTTGTCTCAATAATTCGTAGCCATACAATTTGAACCTCCAAACTACGTTGTTGTTTCTCAGGTCAACATTTAGCGAATCACTGCCCTCACCAGGTACGACGCAAGTTAACTAAAAGATATAACTTTTCAGGTTAATAAACCTCGTCATAGACAAGTAGTATACTGCTTTTATTGTCCTTTGTTTAGTAATTTAAAGCTGTTAATATAGGTAAACTGTTTGTCTGCTAAGACTAGACGTCTGAATTAATCATAACTTTGAACCAGCGGGGTGCCGAATGTTGACTCTGGATAATATTCTTGGTCGACAAGCCGGTAAACGCTGCCCCTGAGCGTCATTCTCGATCAGAGCTATGACCTAGGATGGAATGTTGGGTAGCTGAGACGATACAGGTTGATCCAGGACAGTGCCTTTGTCCAGAGCTTTGACCCAGGATAGAATGTTGGGTCCGCCAGCCTGTTCGCGTTGATTCTGGGACATGATTCTGCGTTAGAGACGTATCTGACGACAGCTGGTTGAGTCGCCGAACTGGTACAGATTGGTCCAAGACAGTACGTCTGTCCAGAGCTTTGACCCAGTACGTCTGTCCAGAGCTTTGACCCAGGATATAATGTTGGGTCAGAAAGCCGGTTAACGTTGGACCCTGGATAGTGTGCTGGGTCGGCGTGGCGGAACGTATGGTTTTCCTTTTCAGAGGAAGGCAGGTGTGGGGACCTTCCGGTAGCGGTCTTGCGGTCAGTATGGGGAGTGGTCAAAGGATGTTTCGGCTGCACATCTTCCAATTTAACTGTTATTATCTGCCACATCCTTTGTGACATCCTTTGTCTTGTCAATAAGGTTGTAATTCGACGGTTTTAGTTTCCCCACATCTCTGAGCCAATTATACCACAAAGCCTAGTTTATCATACGTGGCATTGTTGGCGTGGTTTCCCCGGTCACGAATGGGTTGCCCGCATCGGAGATGTTCGCATGCACAAGAGAAGGGTTTCCGAGTCTTGAGATGAACTCTGAAAATTTCCGCCGAGAAAAGACGTCCAGAAACTGCCATTGATTTACAAATGTCATTGAGGTTCTCTATTGAATGTCAGACGAAGCGTTATCATAACATACAAATCTGCGAGTTTTATTTCTTTTCAACTTTGAGGCCATGGGTTCAATTATTCTTTGGTAGATTGACTAGATTTAAAATTTTCCTGAAGTTCGAACAGAATAGGAAGCCCTCAACGCGATGTTTCTATGCTACTGATATAAAATTAGCTTTAAGAAAAATGCTTACTGTAAGCCGGCCTTTTATTTTGAACACCTTTATATGCATCAACCAGTTGGCTTTCAATAGAATCGACAAGAAAATGCTTTACAAGTGGCGATAACGATCTGGTTAAAAAAAAACAAAAACAAAAAACAAACAAAAGTGAAATTGCGAGTTGCGTTGTCTTGAAAAAAATAAAATAACTTTTGTCTTCGGACTAACGGTCCGATACACACTATGGCAGCGACAAATGGAACAAATTGAATCTGTGCGTGATGACGCGGAGGAGGAGGGAGAGTGTGAGAAAGAGGGCGGAGTCTCCAAAGGGCAAGGGCGGGCAGCCCTTTTAGGTAATGGCAGCAGTGCTTCGCAGATATGCTCTGGATGTTTGTTATGGGTTCCGAGGCTTGGTAAGAAAAGGCAAAAAAGGATTGGCTGTTGTATTCTTCCACTGAGAGCCGTAGAAACGACTGACGTGGCCATGCGCTGTGTCGTGGTAAATTATTGGCAATGCTGGATCGACACACAGCTTTAATGTTGTGTGCGCAAGGTGCCAGGTTGTTGACAGACCATCACACCTGCAGCCGCGCCACATCCGCTCGCTTGCTCCCTCTCGCGAACTCCCTGTCCATTTCGGTAGCCACTTCGTTTTTCCACGATTTCATTGCGAGCATAGTCACGGTCGTCGGCGTGACCCCAACTCTCCATTCACATAGCCGCTCGCAGCAGTCCTGGTAACGGCAATCCAAAGTGAGACGATTTGTTCGCTAAGAGACACGAGCAATTCCAGATCCTCTCTCCACCGTAGAATTCTTGCGTTTGTGTGAAGAGACACAGGTACTTCAGGATATCGCTGCCGCCTTTCTACAAGCCGTTCTTTCCGCAACCCGCTATCGCCTTGGTTCTTGCTTTTCGTAAAGTCGAGTTTACCTACCCAAAAACCTATCTTTTTGCATCATGTCTGGACAAGCACTACTGAACAATCCTCGTGAAAACCGTGGACGTCGCTATTCCGCGACTGATCGTCAAGTTCTTCGCATCACTGGTCTTGTTCCCCCGGCAGCTTCTAAGACGCTGGCAGAGGATGTCCAGCATCTGCTTATTCAACTTCGCAAATGCTCTTCCGTCCTTTCTCGGTATGAGCGCCTCATGCATGTGCTCGCATCGGATGAAACGCTCTTCTTCGCTGCGGCGCAGAATAATCTTCCTCAAGTGCTTCCTATGATCTACACTCCGGCCGTCGGCGATGCGTGCCTCAACTATTCAGATTTGGCTATTCCAAACAGAGGCATGTGGATTGGGATCGACCAGAAAGGAAAAGTCAGGGATATTCTCGACAACTGGCCGGCGGACAATGTGGATGCCATAGTAGTCTCTGACTGTGAAAGGATCCTTGGTCTTGGCGATCTTGGTGCTAACGGAATGGGTATCCCCGTTGGCAAGCTTCTTCTCTATTCTGCATGCGGTGGCCTCGATCCGGCTCGTTGTTTGCCGGTGGTATTAGATGTCGGCTGCAATACTCCAGCAGTCAGGAATAGCGAAAACTACATCGGCCTGGACCACGACCGCATTTCCGGACAGGAATATGATGATTTTGTTCATGAGTTCATCACAGCTGCCATTGAAAAGTACGGGAAGAGCACTCTCATTCAGTTCGAGGATTTTGGAAATTCCAATGCGCTGCGGCTCCTGAACAAGTATCGGGATGAAGTTTGCTGCTTTAATGACGATATCCAGGGCACTGCAAGCGTCGGACTAGCCGGTATTTTGTCTGCCCTACGGATTCCCGGCGTTGCTTCGGAGCTCAAGGATCACAAATTTGTTCTTCTTGGTGCTGGTAGCGCAGGTATTGGTATTGCGTCATTGATAACATTAGCCCTCGTCCGTACCGGAATGCCAGAGGTAGAAGCCAGGCAGAAATGTTGGTTTGTTGATTCACGTGGCTTGGTCTACAAGGGTCGGGCGAACGTGAGTGAGGCGAAATCTCCGTTCGCTCATGAAACAAGTTTAGACGTCCAAGCAGTCGCCAAAGAAGGCCTTTTGGAGATTATTAAAGTTCTCAAGCCGACTGGCATCATCGGGGTGTCCACAATCCGAGGTGCGTTCTCTGAAGACATTATTCGCGAGATGGGTTCTCTGAACGAACGTCCGTTAATCTTCGCGCTGAGTAACCCAACCAGCAAAGCCGAATGCACAGCTGAGGAAGCCTACAAGTTCACTCAGGGGCGAGCCGTTTTCGCAAGTGGTTCACCTTTTGCACCTGTCCAGCTCCCGGGCCATCACACACATCTCGTCCCAGGGCAAGGGAACAACAGCTACATTTTCCCTGGGCTGGGTTTTGGTGTGGTCCTCTCTGGCGCCAAACAAGTGCCGGAATCTATGTTGCTAATAGCGGCAGATACAGTCTCAAAAATGGTAGGGGAAGAACAATTGCAGGTGTCCTGCGTATACCCTGACTTGCATTCACTGATGGATATTTCGGCTAACATTGCCTTCGCTGTCTGTCAGGAAGCGAAGGCCCTCAGCTTGAATGAAAGGAATGTTGACAGCCTTGATGTGAAGACGATAAGAGACATGATGTATGAACCGGGTCGAGGTCAGATTTGAAGCATTCCCGACAGTGTGACTCTCGTGGTAGCTTAGAACCATCCACAGCGACTAATGGCGTAAGTTCGTGCTAAAGAAGGGAGTTAAACGCTTTCAGTATCAGAATTTACAACGTAAAACACATTAACACGAGCACTCTACCCTATGTACCATACAATATATGCATTTGATTGCCCTCAATCACAAGCCTCGTGTCGCGCTAGAGCTGTCTAGGCCCGTTCATTCCGGGGCCCGTTCACACTGAAAGGGTCCCGGATTATGTGCGGTGTGAACGGTACAGTAGTCCACTTTACAATCAGCGAGGGACCTCGTAATTCTATGTGTGTTTGTATGTCAACATGTATCGAGAAACGAACAAAATGTGAAATTTTGAGGAAGGGGATTGGATTCGAGCCAGGCAGTCTTCCGTAAAGTACTACAGCATTCGAAGTGCCGCAATAGAGCACACACGACATTTTCCCGTAGGAAACATGCCGACTCGAAGCTTTTCCCCGCTGGCACGGGGACGATCGCGGACTCGTTCGCATAATTATTCGTATCGCTCCCGCAGAGATCGCGCACCAGATCGAGGTGGAACACAAGTCCTATCGACACATATTGTTGTCGACGGGCTGGTCCCTATTGCTCTCGACCCATTCTCACCACACGAGAGGCCGGGCGACAAAATTGCCCCCTGGTGCGCTACACCAGAATGTCAACTCAAGGTTCTTGCTGGTTAGGCACCATACAGTACTAGTGTCTATCGGACCATTGTCATCATATGAGGACAGAATTCGACCTACTTTATTCTTGACTCCGCTTCCCCGACAAGAAAGAAAATGGTACCCCCGCCACCGTACTTGACTTCTGACTTGGGACCAGAAGAACTTCGTGAGAATTGCATATTCTCGGTGGTCGTTTTTGGATATGTCTGGAAAAGAAGCTTTTTTAAACCACCCTAAAACCGCATGTAAAATAACTTCGACACCAAAAACGCCAGTCCAAAAAGGCAACTTGGTACTCAATCTGCATTATATTCTTAGGCCTTTTGTGCATTCAAAGCTGCTATCCCGGTGTTCTGCAAGATGCTATTGCCGAAAACAAGCACGTTAAGGAAATAGTGCCCAAGGTGGCTTTTTGAATGTTCAATTTATTTTATATGTTTTTGCAAAAAAAAACATCCTCATACGAGGACAAGCGCCGGTCGGATAGACACTAGCATCGCCAAGAATGGCACTTGCACACACACTCAGCTTATTTCTAGCTACTGTACCATTCTAGCTACTGTACAGGATCGCGCCAACAAAACGAGGAATCTCGCTATAGCATCAGCGGACAGAGAAAGGTATCATCAGTTTTGTTGAATGATCGCCAGGGTATACGCCTCGTAACTGATAAAGGGAGGGCAAGATCATTGTGCCAGACGGTCACATAGCGGATGTCAAAGGCCTTTTCGATGGGAACGGCCAAGGGCGGCTTGGTACGATAGGAGAATACGAATCACTATTTCGTGGTTCTAACCATGCATGAAGGCGTGTGGCAGCAAAGGGCAATGGATGAAAACGAGTGGTACTCTAGAACCACCAGAAATTATTGGTCGTCTCCGCCATCCCCGCGAATAATCGTCTTTTGTGGGTCCAGAACAGCTCTTCCCAGCCACACCTCGCAGCCGCATTTTTCAGTCACACTTTCCAGCCACACTTCCCAGCCACACTTCCCAGCCACACTTCCCAGCGGCACTTCCCATCAACTTGCCTACCCTTTTGGCCGTTGCAGTGACATACAAAGCGGACAGGCCTCAAACGTATGAAAGCAGTTACGGTACAGGAGCACAGCAACGACCGCGAACAGGTGACGCGAAGCAGTAGCACTTATCACGCTCAAGCAAGTTATGTTCGAATGCAACTGAGAGGGCCAAGCCCAGTCTATTCATCAAGCCCCACACACGCTCATGTACCACACACGTTCATGCACCACGCACGTTATTCAACTTTAAGAGTTGTTTACGGCCGGCACAGTGCAGCACATAAAGACGCTTTGTCCTGCATTGCGACTTCCCGAACGAATGACCTTCTACAGTACATGTAGTCACAGGCTGCCACGCACCGTTCCACGCGAGCTGCCTGGCAGGTGCAATCGAAACTGTGGCCGTGACATGCAAGTAAAAGCCTTTCAATTACTTCTGGAACCAAGAGTTAGAGAGTCGGTTTCTTGAAGGATAAACCCTTCACCTGTTTTGACTTCACTTGAGCTCCTAAACGTTTGGTGTTTGGTTTCTTGAAGGATAAAAACCCTTCACCTGTTTTGACTTCACTTGAGCTCCTAAAAGTTTGGCGTTTGAACCTCGCCCGCGTGCATCGAGATCAGAGGATAAGCCATGACATGACATGAGCATCTGTGTCCTAAACATCCAATTCATTGGTAGCAATTGAGAAAAAAGTTGGATCGTTGGTCGTGCGAGAGGCTGGGGCGGCTCTGCACCAGACCAAACATTGTAGGGTGTAGGATCATCCAAGGCTTCTGACGAAAGTGGCAGCGTTTGAAGATGACAGCAGTGACAGCTTTGGAGAGTATCCTTTCATGCCAGAGGCTACACGGCTGGCATCTGGTTCCACCGGTCTTTCTCTGCCCGGTGGCTCACCGGATCCGGAATCGGCTCACTCAGGCATGATTGGACGCACATTCTCGATGGTGGCAGGGTTCGAAGTCACGCTATACCTCGGTAAAGAATTCGTGGCCTCCATCGACGCCTCATGCCGCACTTTTGGGATTCGTTCAGCTCGCGTCTCGCGACTTTGTTTCAATACTGATGGTGTTGCCGACAGACATATGTCTCCCTTGTAAGAACTTGCAGATCCTGCTAAATCCCCGTCTTGCATGAGTTGCTGAGAAGTCGATTCCAGAACTGAGGCGATGTCCGCAGAGGTTACCGCAGCATATGCGGCTGAACATGGTTCAGACGATCTTCCTCTAGATGGCGTCGGCAACAGAATACGAGCATGTTGTACCTCAGAAGGCGGAGATTCATGCATAGTCACAAATGTTCGGGCGTTGAGGTTGGTCGGTCTATCACGTTTCCGGAAGCAGAAAATTCATCGGATGAGAAAGAGGGTGCCAGCGAGGGTGCCAGCGAGGGTGCCATGGATTCCATACGGAAAGATGATGAGTTCCGACGGCTAAGAGTGGGGCTTGCTGTTGCTGGGGCAGGCTCGCTGGCTGTCGATGCACCAAAGTCGAATTCAGGAACGTCAGATGACGACACCGTCGAAGTGCTGGGAAGTGGTCCAGCTGTTAGATTTTGCATCGGAGCGGGCTGATGCTGTTTTGCAGGCCCCGTGCTCTTTCGTCGAGAGGGACAAGGCTTTGCGCTAACCTCACAACAGGCATCGACGCCGCTACCCTCAAGCCCTGTTAATGCACCGACACTGATGGTGCTAAAGATGTCTACGCACAGACGCGAACAGCATTTCGAATGCGAGAGCAGTGGTGGACACCAGGACTGCTGCCCTGCAGGGCATTGGAGACACGGGCACTTTCCAGGAGAGTCACTTTTGGTTTCGACAATTTGGGCAAAGGACGGTGTGTCACCGTTCGATTGAAGGCGCGTTGCTTGAGACATGTGAACATCCAGAAATTGTGCGACTATTCGGCCAAAGTCAGCAAAGTCTGCTTTCAAGAAACAGACCTTCCCGTCAAGCACAAGCTCTTTCCCCTCGAGAATTTCTAAAAGGATTCTGGCCTTTTGCGGCCCAAGCTCTTTGGAAACGATGCCGTTCGCCTTACTGAGTGCAATGGAAACGGCAGATGCCGGTGCACAGCCTGCTGAGTCTGCATAGACCACCGTGTAGAGCATAAAACTTGAAAGTAGAATGGCGATATTCAAGTGAGGGGAAGAAGCTCGACCGGAGTACGGCTTACTGGGGAGCACATTTGGCATGGCAAAATGATGTCTTTGATACAATAGCACGAACAAAACTCGACTGCGGAAACCATTTAACTTGGAAGCCAGGATTAGGGCTTGTGTAGATGCCAATGGTAATGTTCATTAGGACTAGGCACGCAATCCTAAATAGCGATGTGCGCCATTCCTGTCTCACATGGGGAAGAAATCGAATACTGAGACAATCCATACGTCAACCACTTCCGTGAAGTGTCAGTAAGCGCGCAAAAGCTCATGGTCTCACTTGTCATCTTTGTGGCCCGATTGCTCTAACACAAGCCCGTCCCAATCAGACAGGTTATCTAACTGACCGCTTGCTTGTACAATGTGTCGATACTTGCATCAGGTAGGGTAGATTCAGAGAAGAGGCCTGACCTTGAACATTTACTTGGCACTCTGCAATCACGTGGCATTCGGCCATGAGTACACTCAGATGAATGCGATTCTTCTGTCGTTGCAGGCGGGCTTCCGCATAAACTTAGCGCGAGACGCAGTAGCCTCCTGCACTGTGCAGGTTGTTCTGCCTCGATAACCCTGAAAAAAGGGCCACATATCATGTGCTATTCAGGAAATTCATAAATCATTCCTTTTCTTGAATTCGTGTTAGAACCACTCTTGAAGCGAAAACTCTTTACGAAGTGCAATGCATTCGTATAACCTATATCTCGACGCAGTTGTATTCTACAGAGAAACTTAACAGAAGCGCGTATCTTCTGCTCGATTCGTGAGGAGACTTGACGTATCGTTTTCTTTTCTGGAGCCTAACGTCATGTCCATGGCATGTAGAGCGTACAGCAATATTCTTGTACGTGCACAAAAAAAGAAAAGACACACATCATTCTACATGCATATTATATAAACAAAAAGGTCTCGAAAGCGAACCCCGCCTCTCTTCACATCCGCAACTTTAGACGGGGATGATGAGTTACTTCCGTCCCTTCTTCTACACTGGGAAGGACGAAACGATCCCGCTCATTCCACATGGATGGGGTTTCTGTTCCCGACACGCCGTGCCAGAGCGACTGCTCCGAATTGCTTCGCTTCACCATATCTTCTGGGGCGGAATCTAACGCACTGATTCGATACCAGCAGAATTGACACGCACCATGCCCATGTCCTCCTCCACCTTCACAGCCCCAACCCCAAACGGATCTTCGTCTAAGACAACGTTAGGTGCCTCGTAGTTCACTGCCGTAGAGCGAGAAGGGCCCCCATACCAGCTTGCTGATGATCCTATGGGAAGTCGACCGGATGGCGAAGTTGACACATCGGTCATCGTTGCGTTCTTACTATCCTCATCGCCACCTTCGCCCCCGGCCTTCTTCCGCTCCGCTGCGCGCTTTGCCAAATAAGCGTCCGTGATCGGCTTGAATTTGTGCTTGGGCATGGATGTCGTCTTGCGTTGCGCAATACCTTCTTGCACACTGCGCATCGCGTTTGCAAATGTATCTGCTTGGCTGGGTATGTCAAACCCGCACTGCCTGTCAGGGCCTTGTAGATACTCCCTGGAACGCTCGGGATGATACAAGAGAATTTCTTCGAGGAAGAGCTTGCGCATGCCTTCCCGAGTATGCCGTTGACGCTCGAATGCAAACTCATGCTTCGGTATTGGCCGGCTGGGAAGCTCAGCGACGTTCTCGTTGAGCTCTTTGAAATAGGGATGATGTAGTGCTTCTGCGGCGGAAGGTCTCTTGGAAGGATCAAAATCGAGCAACTTTGAGAGCAGGTCAAGCGCTGCCGGCTGTGCATGCGGGTACAAGTCCGAGAAGGGACGCGGTCTGCGCTTTGGGCATCGTCGCATTTCTTCGCGGACCCTCGCCGACTGGACTTTCAGAATGGCCTCCTCACTGGGCGAACCCAAAACGTCAATCATGAGACTGAGCTGGTCAATGGCATCCCTGCCTGGAAACAAGGGTTTACCATTGCCCAACATCTCTGCGAGAATGCATCCGACGGACCAGATGTCAATAGCGGTGGAGTACTTTGTGTAATGAGTCATGATGAGCTCGGGTGCTCGGTACCATCGAGTGGCGACATAATCTGTCCAATAGACCATATCCATGGGGTCATCAAACGCGGCACGCGCGAGGCCAAAGTCACAGATGCGGAGCGAGCATTCCTCGTTGACGAGAATGTTATTCGGCTTAAGATCGCGATGGAAGACACCAGAGCCGTGCATGAAGGCCAAGCCGCGCAGAATCTGGTAGGAAAAATACTGTATATGCAAGTCGCTGAGTCGATCGGCACCCCTTAACAAATGGTTCAAGTCGGTAGGCATCAACTCGAAGAGAAGAAATACATCATTAAACTCCCTGGTACTACTCGGCAACAGGATGCCCTGCATCTCGACAATGTTCTCATGTCCGCGAAGCAGCCTCAAAAACTTGATTTCACGCAGTAAGCGAATAGAAACGGGGACCTTGTCGAAGCCACGACTAACCCTCTTGACAGCGACGGCCTCACCCGTCTTGTTGTCGACAGCGGAACAGACGACGCCACTAGCACCCTCTCCAATAATCTGCAAGACGGAATATTTTTTCTCAACCAACGGAGCCTCAAAAAATTGCTTACGGAGCTGGCGGAGCCTCCGCAAGCGGTCCTCGCGGATGACTTCGCGTTCTCGAGCTTCCTGCTCGCGGGCGGCAAGCTGTGCTAGATACATGGCCTGGGGGTCCGTAAGCATAGAAGGTTGGTCGTGCGGCGGGAGGTAGTGGGCCGGTTGGGAGGGGCGCGGAGGATGGTGAGGGTGTGCCATACTTGAGGGTTGATGTGGGGGGGGACGCAGTCGTGCGTCGGTCAAAGGGGGATAGAGGGGCTGGTGATGCGGGACGTAATGGGGATGGTCGGGATGGATCGGGCGGAGGTGTTGGTGTGAGAGGTGGGCTGGTGGCGGGTGCTGCATAACATAGTGGGGCTGGTGAGGGATAGGATGGAGGGGAACGGGTGCTGGGCGGGGGTGTTGTGGTTGTTGGTGGTGGTGGCGGGGGAGGGAATTTTGGTAGTTAAAAAGGCGTGGGCGGTCGCTGTGGACCTGACGAAAAGGGTCATCGGGGTGGGGTTGGGGAGGGTTGAAGCGGGGCATGTAGTGGGTGTCGGGGAGGGCATGGTGTTGGTTGAGCATCTGTCGCTGGAGAATGTGTTGCTGTTCGCGTTCGCGCTGCTGCTGTTGGCGGAAGTAAGCGGGGGGGAAGTGGTCGGAGCGTGGCAGGGGGCGCGGGCGGGAGCCCATGTCGGGATGTTGGAGGTGAGGGGAAGGAATGGGGGGATAGTGAGGGCGGCTGCGGGGGTCGGGAGTGGTATCGCGGTCGGACATGGTGGGAGGTGAAGGGGACGGGCTGCAAGGAGGGGGGTGGGAGTGCGTTTGAGGGTGCGGGAGGTGAAGGAGGGTGGGTGTTCAGGAGGAGAGGGGAGAGACGTAGTAAGAAGTGTTAACGCCCTTCAAGCTGGTACTGTAGCGA